AAAAAAAAAAAAAAAAAAATGACCCGGCCCCTCCCTTCCACCAAAGCTGCCCGCAGGCACCTAACCCTGGCCCTTTGGGATCTGGGCGTGGGGGTGTGTCCCTCTCCCCGCCCCAGGGTTCCGGGTGGGGCGGGGCAGCACCCTCCGGTTCTCACGCCGGGCGGTGGGTGGCGGCGGCGGCCCCTAACATGTATTGAGCGCTGACTGTGTACCAGGACTGTTCTGCTCGCTTGACCCGCCCCGGCGCCTGCAACCCTCATACGGGCCACCCTGGGAGGGAGGTGGGGGCTGTTTTCATCTCTCCCATTTCCCAGATGGAGAAACCGAGGCACGGGCAGCCAAGCCATTTGCCCAAGTTAACTCCGGCTTGGGAGTGGTCCAGGTGGGATGCCAACCCAGAGCCCCTGGGGCGCTGTCCTGTCTGCTCGCTTCCACCAGCGCCAGCCCCCTGTCTTGACCCCCCCCACGATGATGCGCTACGGTGGAACTTGCCCATTTCACAGGTGAGAAAACTGGCCAAGGGCCGAAGCAGCCTGGGAACAAGTTTTGATGCCTGTCCTTGCAAAACAGGGAATTTCCAGGCTGGGTTCCCCCCGCCCCCCTCCTTCCAGCCAATGTGGAAGAGATTCCAGGGTCAGGAGGGGCAGAGACTTTTCTTTGACACCCCCTCCCCCCCACCGGCTTGGTTTTGCTTCAAAGGGTAGGGGGTTGTCCAGTGAAGGCTACTTACAGCGTGGTGGGGTGAAATGCAGGGGGAGACGTCTTGGAAGAGATGATTTCAGTAGGGTGCGGTGGCTCACGCCTGTCGTCCCCGCACTTTGGGAGACCCAGGCGAGAGGATTGCCTGAGACCGGCGGTTTGAGACCAGCCTGGCCAACTTGGTGAGACCTCGTCTCCGCAATAAATCAAAAAATTAGCCGGGCGTGGTGGCGCACACCTGTGGTTCCAGCTCTTGGGAAGCCTGAAGCGGAAGGGTCTCCTGAGCCCAGCAGGTCCAGCCTGCAGTGGCCGTGAGCGTGCCACTGCACTCCAGAGTGAGACTCCGACTCAAAAAAAAGAGAAAAGATGATTTCAGCCAATGATGTAAGTGCTAGGAAGACAGTAAATGTCTGTTGAATGAACGGACCTATGGTGGTCTCTAAGGAGAAGGAAGATGGTAGCTGGGATTTGGGGGTAGTGATTAAGGAATGGGTAGAGCTCTCAATCATTTTATTTTTTTATTTTTTTGAGTCAGGGCCACACTCTTGCCAAGGATGGAGGGCAGTGGCACGCTCATGGCCACCGCAGCTTTCACCTCCTAGCTCAGGTGATCCTTCCGCCTCAGCCTCCCGAGTAGCTGGGACTACAGGCATGCACCCCCATACACGGCTTATTATTTTTAGTTTTTGTAGAGACGAGGTCTTGCTATGTTGCCCAGGCTGGTCTCAAACTCCTGGGCTCAAGCGATCGTCCCACCTCGGCCTCCCAAAGTGCTGGGATGACAGGCGTGAGCCACCACGCCCACAAGCATTTACTAATTTATTCAACAAGCATCTATGGAGTGGGTGCCAGGTGCTGGGTCGGGGAGAGCGCAGCCATGAACCAAAGCCACAGACATGCCGAAATAGACAATAAAGAAATACGTAGCATAAACATCGGGCTTATCAGATGATATTAGGGATGTGGATAGGGTGTGACGGGGCGGCCGGAAGGGAAGGCTGTGGCTTGAAATGAGGAGGTTTGCGACGACCTCATGAGAAGGTGACATTTGAGCTGAGCCCTGTAGGAGGTGAGAGAGCCAGCCATGAAGTTGCCTGAGGTGGTGGGCACCACCTGTGCAAAGCCACAGAGGGTTGTGCGCCACCGACGGACGTGCCCTGACTCAGGGGCTCACAGGCGCGCACTGGCGGCTGCAGGGAGGACAGAGGGTGGGGGCCGGGACTGGACACAGGGGATGCATCAGGACGGGGCTAGATCCTCGTAAAGGCAGATAAAGAAGTCACCAGTGGGTGGATTTGGGGTATGTTTCATCGAGGGCACTACTCATCAGGCCTGAGGAAGGCAGTCCACCTCACAGTCTAGCCAACAGGGCTCCCCCAGCCCTCTGCTCCCCGGTGCCCTGACCTGTTATAATTTCTTTATTTCTTGAGTCGGGGTCTTGCTGTGTTGCCCAGGCTGGAGTGCAGTGGCATGATCACGGCTCATCATAGCCTCCACCTGCCGGGCTCAGGCGATCCTCCAGCCTCAGCCTCCCGAGTAGCTGAGACTACAGCCCGGTGCCACCAGGCCTGGCTTATGACTTTTTTTTTTTATTTTTTTTTTAGTTGGAGTCTCACTCTGTCACCCAGACTGGAGTGCAGCGGCCACTCCCGGCCACCGCAGCCTCGACCTGCTGGGCTCTGGCGATCCTTCCGCCTCAGCCTTCCGAGTAGCCGGAATTACAGGCGCGCGCTACCACGCCCGGCTGATTTTTTGATTAATTGTAGAGATGAGGTCTCGCTGCCCAGGCGGGTCTCGAACCCGCGGGCTCAGGCCATCCACTCACCTCAGCCTCCCAAAGGTGTGGGATTCCAGGCTGAGCCACCGAGCCCGGCTTATTTTTTTTGACTTTTTAAAAAATGTCTGTATTGGCGAGGGCTCACCCGGTCGTCCAGGCTGGTGGGCATCCCGGCCTCCAGCCGTCTTCCGGCCTCAGCCTCCCAAAGCGCTGGGCTCACGGGCGTGAGCCACCATGCTGGGCCCTGGGTGGAGGAGACAGGTGAGATGTGGCCCCGCGGGCCCGGGGCGGGGCTGGCCCGCGGCGCTGGCCCTCCGCTTCCCCCCACAGTGCCCCAGGGCTCCTCCCCCTCCACCCCCTCTCAGGGCGACAGTTACAGGCAAAGAAAGAGGAAGTGGTGGGGGCTGCTTGTCGCTCCCCAGCGGGGCGGTGGAGGCCGCGGCGGGGCGGCCATGGAGCTGTGGCGCCAGTGCACCCACTGGCTGATCCAGTGTCGCGTCCTGCCGCCCAGCCACCGCGTGACCTGGGATGGGGCCCAGGTGTGCGAGCTGGCCCAGGCCCTCCGGGATGGTGTCCTCCTGTGTCAGCTGCTCAACAATCTGCTGCCCCATGCCATCAACCTGCGCGAGGTCAACCTGCGTCCCCAGATGTCCCAGGTGAGCTCCGGACGAGCGCGGGCCTGCAGGGAGGACGAGGAGAGGGGGACTGGGATGGTGCCCTCCCCAGGCGGGCTGATGTGCCTCCCTCTGGGGGCCAGAGAGATGGGTGGACAAGTTCTGGGCTGGCCCAGGGGGTGGTAACGCGCTGAGATTCTGGGTGGGGGCCCCCCTGGGCGGGTGTGAACCTAGAAACCTCTAAAGGCTCTGAGAAGGCCTGCATGAGGGCTGAGAACTGGGAAACTAGGGGTTAACGCTCCCAACCCCTGGACCGAATCTGCTGGTCCAATTCCTCCCCACTAGTGGAGACCACCTGGGGATCCTGGGGGTGCCTTGACCCTCCGGGCAGCCCGCAGGGGCCTGAGGTTTTCAGCTCCTTGGACCCCCCCCCAAGATTCTGATGGTGGGGGAGGGGCGTCGCCAACTCCTTGCCCACATGTGCCTTCTCCTCCAGGGCCTGGCCCCTTCCTTCCCCTCATGTCTTCCTTCCCCTTGGCTTCCTGCCTGGGCCCAGGGCTGCCTGGGGCAGGTGGGTGGAGGGTCTGCAGCCCCCAGGGCCATGGGCTTCCTGGGTCTGTCCACCCCCGGGGGGACACTGAGGCCGGACCTGGTCCTGGGCTCAGGCATGAGTCCTGGGCTCCTGGAGCCTGGGGAACTGCCTCCTCTCTGCAGGGGTGTCTGTCTGCAGGGGGCCGGCAGAGTGGCCGCCCCCACAGACTCAGGAAATGTATTCAAATCCCTATTTGAATGCAGCTGGGACGATGGTGAGGGGGTTGGACCCTGTCTCTGAAGGCCCTTGTCTGGGTCCCCAGGGTTGCTGGCCAGAAGGGGGGGACAGGGAATGGGCACGACTGGTGGTGTCCACCCAGTCCTGGGGTCTGAGGGGCAGCTGCTGTCTGGCCTTCCGGGGTCTCAGGGGCACGGCCCTGCCCTGGGGTCCGAGGGGCAGCTGCCGCCTGGCCTTCTGGGATCAGAGCCACATCCTGGGGACCCATGGGCCGGTGGTGGGACCCCCAGGGCTGGCAGGCGGGGGACGGCTGGGACATGGCCTCCTCCCTGGTCTGAGATGCCCAGGGGAGCTGGGAGAAGCTGCCCTCGAGAGGTGGATGGGCCTTGTTCCTTCTGTGTCCTTAGTGCCAGGGTCCAGCCGCTCCCCAGCCCGGGCAGGGCTCCAGAAAGGAGGAAGGAACCCCGGAACCCCCCGCCGCTGGGTCAGCCCTGCTGACCACACCTCATCCCAAATTTGCCAACATTTGCCTGACCTCCGGGCTCCAGCACATGAGGAAGCAGCCGTGGGACCCTCGGGCCCAGACCTGGCAGGGAGTCAAACTCCCTGGGAAAGTGGATAGACGACAGGATGAACTTCCACTTCCACTCAGTGCGTCTCTGCTGAGGCTGGTGTTCTGATGGAGGGCGAGCGTGCACGGCGCTTATGTCCAGGGGAGCAGCTGCACTAATCCGAGCACGGAGGTGGTGCGTCTTGCAGGGGTCCAGCCTCCGCTGATCAGGGCCTGAGTTGGGGGGAGGGAACGAAAATAGAAAGAGACAGAGAAACAGCCAGATTGGGACGAAGAGGGAGCAAGAGGAGAGAGAGAGAGAGAGAGAGAGAGAGAGAGAGAGAGAGAGCAAATTTATTTGACCGCATGCCTCTTATATAGGACAAAAAATCTCACAAAGGAAGGCCCTACAAGCAGGATATGTTAATGTCTGAGTTAAATCACACAAGCCGACTGGGCTCGGTGGCTCAGCCTGTAATCCCGCACTTTAGGAGGCCGAGGTGAGTGAATTGCCTGAGCCCGCGGGTTCGAGATCCACCAGAGCAACTTGATGAGACCTCATCTCTACAATCAATCAAAAAATTAGCCGGGCGTGGTAGCACGCGCCTGTCGTTCTAGCTACCTGGAAGGCTGAGGCGGAAGGATCACCGGAGCCCAGCAGGTCGAGGCTGCGGTGGTCGGGAGCAGCCACTGTACTCCAGTCTGGGTGACGGAGTGAGATCCAACTCAAAAAAATAAAAAAATACCCAACAAAACCAAAAAACTGTACCAGACTGGGGTGTAGTGGCATGATCATAGCTCACTGCAGCCTCGACATCCTAAGCTCAGGCGATCTTTCCACTTCCGCCTCCCGAGTAGCTGGGACTAC